AAGCCAAGGAACATCCCATCCCCAATATTGGTAAAATTATCAATACTAATGAGTCTTTGGGGAGCTGCTGTTGTCAGGCAACCTCCTCAGCGCTCACACAAAGGACGACACTAGCTTCCCAAATTTCCAGCAAACTTTTAATATTTCCCCAAAACCAAAACACATCTGCTCTGGTGACGCTTCTGAACGGGCCAAGTCACCCTGAAAAGCTTTTCTCACATAGTCTCAAGTATAAATATTTTGATACAAAAAATAAAACCCCATAAAGAAACCCCTAAACCCCATAAACCTCCCCCAAGGCATCTGTGGGGATCCATGGCCAGGTTCAGCTGCAGGGACAGGCAGCCTGAGGTGCTCCCAGCCCACACTGACAGGAAATCTGGGAGCAGCAGAGTCTGCAGGGTCTGGGCTGAGCCTGGGAAGTGCTCCAAGGTGTTGGAGGTGCTCTGAGGTCTGGGCTGAGCCTGGGAGGGTGCAGGGACCAAGGCTCTGATCCCAGGGCAGCTCCAGCATCATTCCTGGGGTGGGAGATGGATTGGAGTTCCAGCTGAGGGTGTGGGGACACAGCAGGGCACATCTGGTTGGTGGCAGAGGCACAGAGGGTCCCTGAGCCTGGTCAGGGTCACCCAGAGCAGGGCACATCTCCTGTCAGATGTGCTCAGAGCCACAGACCTGGCACAATGTCAGAGTCACCCAGAGCAGGGGACATCTCCTGGCTGGTGTCACTCAGGGCCACAGAGGGTCCTTGTACATCACCCAGAGCAGGGGACATCTCCTGCTTGGTGGCACTCAGAGCCAAAGACCTGGCACAATGTCAGGGCCACCTAGAACAGAGGACATCTCCTGGCTGGTGGCAGAGACAGAGGGTCCCTGAGCCTGGTCAGGGTCACCCAGAGCAGGGGACATCTCCTGGCTGGTGGCACTCAGAGCCATAGAGGGTTCCTGAGCCTGGTCAGGGTCACCCAGAGCAGGGGACATCTTGTACCTCATGGCACTCAGAGCCACAGACCCAGCACAATGTCAGGGTCACCCAGAGCAGGGGACATCTCCTGGCTGGTGGCACTCAGAGCCACAGAGGGTCCCTGCACATCACCCAGAGCAGGCTCAGCCCAGGCACTGGGACACTGCCACCATTCCCTGCTGGGAAAGCTTTTCCCCTTCCAGTTCCAGAGCTCAGGAGGAGCCCAGGCAGGAGCAGCCTGGCCCAGCCTGCCTGCAGAGCACGCTCAGATCAGGACTAAACCTCACCTTAATCACTGACAACCACCAGGAGCTCAGCCTTGGCCTTTACACCCGGCAGCTGAGGGTGACTCTGAGTCACTCTGACTTTTAAATTAAATTATTTCATGCATAGGAACAAAAGCTGCAGCAGAGGATTCACAGAACTCATCATCAAGTACTCAGTAACACACTGTATATATATTAAGCTTTAAATAAAAAAATCTTTCAAGGTTTTCCTTTGAATATATGCACTCTATAGGATGCAGCAAACTCGAGCCTGGTCTAACTCTCAGTCACACCCTGTGCTCTGCCCTTTATACAAAGTCTGCTCTACTGTAATAATTCTTCCTTTTAAACAAATGCAGGTAGCCTAGACCTTAATAAAAGCTGCCCAGAGCCCTGGGGCTGAGCTGCCCTCCCTGAAAAATGGAGCAGTTCTGGTTCTGTTACTTTGGGAAGGAGGTGAAAAACTGCTGGAGTGGGGTTTTAGATGATCTTGTTCTCCAGGGCTTCAATTCTTTTGGCCACAGCTTCCAGTAAGGAGGAATTAAGGAGGAAAAGCAGCAATTTTTCTGGGAATGTTGGGAGGGAGACTTCTATATGGGCACAGAGTGATGGGCCAAGGTTTTAACTAAAAGAGCAGAGATTTAGATGGGATTTGGGGAAAGAATTGGCCCCTGGCAGGGTGGGCAGGGGCTGGGCTGGAATTGCCAGAGCAGCTGTGGCTGCCCCTGGAGCCCTGGCAGTGCCCAAGGCCAGGCTGGGCATTGGGGCTGGCAGCACCTGGCACAGTGGCAGGTGTCCCTGGGCTGCAATCAGCTGCCATTGAAGATCCCTTCCCACCCAAACCACTCTGGCATTCACATTCCTCAATCCAGGATGGAAACCAGCACCAAAACCCATTGCAGCAAATGGAGAAAGGAAAGGAAAGAATGATTTCCTGGCTGATTACAGGTGCCCCCAGTGCCATTTGCCACAGGGGGTTTGTAGGCTGGCAAGGGCTGGTTAGAGAGGTTTGGGCTGTGCCAGGGTGCCCAGAGCAGCTGTGGCTGCCCCTGGAGCCCTGGCAGTGCCCAAGGCCAGGCTGGAGCACCTGGCACAGTGGGAGGTGTCCCTGCCATGGGAATGGGATGGGAGGAATTTTAAGGCCCTTTCCACCCAAACCACTCAATAATTCCCCAGTCCCAGGCTGGGGTAAGGATGGGAGCGGCAGCAGAGGGGATCTGTGCCCATCCCCTCTGGTTTCCCAGAGCTCTCAGGCTGGTGGAGCTGCCTGGGCTCACACATCCTCCCACTGCCCGGGCTCACTCCCAGAGGAGGAGGGAAAGGAGGGGCTGACAGAGCCCCTGACCCTGAGGAGAGCAGCAAGAGCTTTTCCTGGCATGCCAGAGCAATTTTCTGCTCCTCTCACTAATTCCCGTTCATGGTGTGCCTGGAGAGCCACCCACCAGGTGGGAGCTGTGACTTCCCGTGGCCTCTGCACCACACAGGTCACGGATCTCACCCGGATCTCGCTCCTGGGAGGAGGAACAGAGCTGTGCCACAGCAGGGCCCAGAAATGTGTGAAGAAATCAGAATGTTCCTTTTAAAATTAGATCCTCTCCTGATCCTCAGTGGTGAGACATCTCCCCTGCCCTTGTGAGCCACCCCGAGGCTCCATGAATTCTGTTTTTCAGAAGTTTTAATCCTACTCACAATTTTTTTGTGATTTTTTTTCTCTTTCTGCCACTTAGTGAAAGGCCCAGCATGGCAGGACTCAGTCCCACCAGGTGGGTTCTGATGGGATCCAACTCACCTGGCTGGAGATGCTTCCAGGGAACAGTTCCATCAGGATTTATCTCCCAGCACTGAGTTTTGGCCAGCTGGGAGAACCTGGGGTGAGGGGATGTCACAGATGTATTTTCATTTAAAATCCTTCTTTAGGATTTTTTTTCCTTCTGAGAAGCTGAGAGGCCTCAGGAACAAAATGTAAACATTGATTATCTGCTGCTGTGGAATGCAACAGGTGCATCTGTGATTGGTCTCATGTGGTTGTTTGGAATTAATGGCCAATCACGGTACAGCTGTCTCTCTTTCTGTCCAAGCTACAAACCTTTGTTATCATTCTTTTCTATTCTTAGCCAGCCTTCTGATGAGAACTTTTTCTTCTATTCTTTTGGTATAGTTTTAATGTAATATATATATAATAAAATAATAAATCAGCCTTCTGTAACATAGAGTCAGATCTACGTCTCTTCCCTCATCCTAAGAGCCCTGTGACCACCGTCACAAGTGGATGTGTCCCTCTGGATTCTCCACACCACCCTCCTACACTCTGAGTTGTTCTGATGTCCCTCTGTCCCTGCAGTCCGTGAAGAATTTGGGCAGTGTTGGATGTTTGCTCTGAAGGCACTCCCTGCCTCCCATTCCAGGTGCCTCAGGACCCATCTCCCCACAATCCCAGAATCCCAGAGCCTGGAAAAGCTTGGAAAAGCCCTCCAGGGCCATCGAATCCAACTTTCAACCATTCCCTACCTTGTCACCAGCCCGGAGCTCTGAGTGCCAGATTTGACCCCCAGATTTGCCTCATTCCCACCTTCCTGAACCTTCCCCATGGAAGGTCCCTGTGGATTCCCAGCCCAACCCACCCAGTTCTGGCCACTCTTCCAAAGGATATGTTTCTGCTGCAAGGAATTGATGAGCTCTTCTACTTTGGTCTGGAACTTCATGATGGATTTGCACTCACACGGATCTTCCTCTGTGGGTCACAACAGCAAGAGGATGAGTGGCACAAAAAAATGGATTTAATCCAAATCTCTGAGCACAGTAAAACAGCACAATTCTTCTTTTCTATGTCAGAAACGGGAAGGAAATCAAAATGTAATTATTTCTAATTTTCTGATTGATGTCTTCTAATTTAACCTCAGATGAACAGAGAATGTCACATTTTTCTGTTATTTCAGCCATGGGAAGTCTTTCCTGGCTTTCCATCTCTCTGGAAACTCACTGAGCTCTGCACCTGATGCTTCAAATTTGCCCTAAAATTGGAGTTGGACCAAATAAAACCAACCTCTGTCTCCCCAACAAGATCCAATTAAAACTGGAGGCACTGCTGCCATCAGGACTGGTTTGAGCTTTGCTTCAGTAACTCCACTCCTTGAGGGGGTGGAACCATGAGCGTTAATCACTTTGCTAATTTATGTCACTAATTTACATCTGTTCTTCAAGGAAAATTAACTCAGACTGGAACAGAAGGAAAAAAATGCCTGGGAAAGAAAGGGAGGGATTACAAGGCCACTCTGAGCTGAGCAAAGGAGGAGCAAATAAAAGACAGAATTTTTAAGGGAAATTAAGCACTTACACCAAAACTCAACAGGTCTAAACTAGCCAGGTGTAACCTAAAGCTGGAGATTACCAGAAGATTTTATGGCAGCTGCTGAGAAATACAAGCTGGCACTGGGCATGAAAAAAAATGCAAATATCTCCTTGCCTTCCTTTTTATTTTAATACTCAAATGTAAACATATTTATCCAAATTAATATTTTACAAACAAACAGTTTTTCTGAAATTTACTTTTTTTTTTTTTCAAGGCTGAAGCTTAAATGTATTTGAATGATTTTAAAGTACAATTTGTTGGGGGTTTCATATAGATCCCATAGATCCCATACTTTGTTCTTGGATTGATCCTAATTTTTTAATGAGACTTGTCTAAGAGTCTCTGCCTTGCAATCCTGGCTCTGCAGACACAGGGATTATCCCTCTCCAACTTCTCCAGGAGAAAAGGAAATCCTATCTTAAGGAACCTGGAGACAAATTCATAATTTCTGAAGAAAAAGAAGGGCAGAAAGGTGGAGGAGAAAGGAAGGCGATGGAGATTTGGGAGAGGGGGACACGTCTGAGGTGTGGAGGCTGCTTTGCCTCAGGTAACCACCCAAAGTATCAATGTCTGCTGATGCTCCTGTGTGTTCTGCCAGCTCCACACACTGGGAACTGGAGGTTTTTATCACATCCACCTAAAAGGGCATTCTCATCCCTTTTTTCCAGGCTGCAAATGCTGTCACTGAACCCCTCCCTCCCCAATCCCCCTCACACCAGCACAGACCTTCAGCTGCAGCTTCTCCAGGGACATTTCCACCCCTCCAGTCCAGCCTTGTACACTGCCTGAACCCCTCCATCCCCCTGTGACAGATGAGCAATGCCATGGCTGACTCTCACAATTAAAAGGCAAATATCCTGTATCTATGTCAGGAGCAGTTTTATAGATTTATAGTTGTGTTTCACCCCCTTGTGTTGTTCTCAGGGGTGCCCTGGGTTTGGGACATTTGGGAGGGTCACTCGTTCCCATGGCAACAGCTGCCCCCAGTCCAGGTGTCAGGCAGTGATCTCCACCCCTGGGCAGGGAAGGAGGAGTCCATGGACAGAACTTTGGGGGGACCAAAGGGTTAAAAGGGGAAACCTCCATGGTGTGGGTGAGCACATGGTGGGGAACATCGTCTGCTCCTGGTGCTGTGATATTTTCTCTATTCAGTCTGTTGTTGTGGATTTGATAAGGTTTTAATAAACCTTTTACATTTTTGGAAGTGAGCATCATTTTTCACACCAGTCCTCTCTTACCGAGGATCCTTATCGAGGATCTGCAGCTTCTCCAAGGCCATTTCCATCCCTCTACTCCCACCTTGACTGAAGCCCTCCATCCCCAATGCTTCTTACCAGCACAGATCTCCATCTGCAGTTTCTCCAAGGCCATTTTCATCCCTCTGCTCCATCCCAATTCCCTCTCACCAACACAGACTGAAGATCTGCAGCTTCTCCAAGGGCATTTTCATCTCTCCACTCCATTTTTCAAACACTGGGACAAAGCTGCTCCATCCCAGTCCCCTCTCACCACACAGATCTTCACCTGGTGGTTTCTGGAAGGGCATTTCCCCCTCTGCTCCACCCTTCAGAACCCCAGCCCCCTCTCACCAACACAGATCTTCATCTGCAGCTTCTTCCCGATCTTGCTGATGGTCCTGAAGTCAGCAGTGTAGAAATAATGCTCAGCCACGGGTTCTGAGGCGATCTCCCTCAGCTCGTCCTCCACAGCGTTGCCCACTCCCACGGCAAACATCCGAAATCCTGCCAGGAACGGGATCCTGTGAGCACCACGGGGCTGGCATGGGGCCACCCTGCCAGGCTGGGCATCCCTGAGCCCCCAGCCCCACACAGCTCCAGATCCTCACTGAGAATCATCCCCTGTGAGAGTCTGTCTGAGTTTTCCCTTATCTGCCTCTCTATCATCATTTGAGGACCACTGAAGAGAAGACCTCCCCTGTCTAAAATCTCTGGCTCTGAAGGAGAAAGTCACATGCCTCAAGGCCCTGAGACCTGAGAGCACAGTGCTAAGTTATTTGTTTTCACAGATGTTGTTTGCTGTATGCTACACTGAGCCCAATGAGAAGAATGGGGCACCGTGCCCTGTTTGCAACAACAGCCTTGGGAGCTGTCCCACCTCTCAGCCTGGCTGGACTTCTCCTGAGTTTCAGGTGGTCTCCCACAGAAGACCCTCACCTGTTTTACAACCACCGTGACAGACAGACTGAGATGGAAGGAGCCTCTCCATCAAGGACTGAGACATGGAACCCCCATGTGAAAAGGCCCCTCTGCTCCTTCCAAGGACTGGCACTGAAACCCCCAGCCCGGGGCAGGTGTGTGGGGGAGGCAGGCTGACCAAAGTGAGATGTTTGCCTGCAGGTTGTGATCGCTGGACCAAGAAAACAATGGCTCTTGTTTACTGCTGAGAACATGGACTACCTGTTACATCTGTTCCTTATTGTATCTGTTTCCCCACCCTCGCAATTTCCAATAAAGTTATCATAATAAAAATCTCTGAGTTAGCGAGAGATTTTGAGATCTCCCCTCGTAACAGGTGGATCCTCGACTGGACTGGACCAAAGGACTTCATCTCTACGTTTGGTAGCTCTATCCCCTCTTTCTCTCTCTCTTTTCTCTCTCTTTCTCTATCTTTTCTCTCCCTTAATCCCTCTATCGCATTTTGCTGTGGTCATTCAATAAAGGTGCATTTGTTTTGATTATTACTGCACCTTCATTATTACACCCTGTGCTGTGGCGATTTTTTGCACCCTGAGATCAAATCCATGAACCATCACAAAACCCGTTCGTAACGACGGATCGTGACACCCCCTCCACCCCCATTACTCCAGACTCCTTTCAGCCAGGTCAAACAGGCCAAAAATAATTTTGCAGGTGGAAATTTTACTAAAATTAACCAGGCTATGGGCATAGTGGCCATAAGAACAAGGTTTTGGAGATGCTCCTTTCAGCCAGGTCAACCAGGGGCCAAAATATTTTTGCAGGCAGAGTTTAAGTAGAATTTCCCAGCCAATGACAACAAGAGCAAGGTTTTAGAGATGCAAGAAAGGGCAGGTGATGGTAACACCTTCCCTCTGATATGGAAGTGATAATGTAGCAAAAGGGACCTGTGGGAGTTTCCAGAACAGCTCAGCCGCTGTTAATCATCCCTGTTAACGAGACCCTGAGTGGCAAAGTCCCCCTGCAGTGGAGCAGAACTGAGCTGAGTCTCTGTCCAAAATTGCTCCCACTGGGAGTTCACAACTTGTCCTGCTCTGTCAGGAGATTGAGCTGCATTAAACCTGTTTCTATTGAACTGAAATGCAATTTTCCCATTTTGGGTGGTATTAATTAGCCCTGATTTGAAATACTTGTCTCTACTTGTCCATGCCCAGGCACAGGAAATGTTTCCCTGATCCCCTTTGTGCCTTTCTTTCTCTGGATATATCCAATATGTGTTGTTTTTCTGAGGCTCAGCTCACTGAACAATTTTGCAGTCTCATTTTAAGCACTTGTTTATCCCACAGCAATAACTCATGGACAGATAAGAGATTTCCTTGCAGGGACAAGAGAGGAGAGACAAGGCACAAAGTTTTATCACCAGGGAGGAATAAATTCTATAAATACACTTTATAAGAACCTTTTGTTTTATAAGAGCTGAACAGCCCCATAAGATGTCAGAGTGCTTTGTAAACATTGGTTTTTCACGAGCTCCCTGACCTTTCTGGTTATGTGCTGGCCCTGAGTCCCATCTAGTGGTGGAGAGCGAAGTTAAAAGGAAGGGAAGGGATTCAGCAATTCCTGAGTAAATTCCCAGGGGCTGGATGCATTTAACACGGGGTGTCAGAGCCTGGGAATGTGCTCAGAGGGTCAGCAGAGGGGCAGCTTTCAAGGCATTAATATTTCATGGGGCTCAGGCTCAGGAATCCATCAGTGTGTGGCCACTGAGTGTTTTTCCTACAACAGCAGCTGAGGAAAAATCCTTATTAATGTGCCTGAGGTTCCTCCTTAACCCATGTCTGGGCTTTGTTTATTGTTTTGTTGCTTTTCCCCTGCCTTTTCCAGGCCTTGAGGCTGATGCAACTGAGCCACACTTGGCCCTATAAATCCTGGGCTTGGTTGTCTTTGCTTTGGGGTTCATTGTGTGCCTCTGGTGCTGGGCTGGGCTTCCTGACCAGCCCCAGACAAATCCCAGAGTGGGTAAGGGCTGGGTTAAGAGGGACCTTAGAGCTCCTCTGCTCCACCATCTTCCACCGTCCCAGATTGCTCCAAGCCCTGTCCAACCCTAATGGTGCTGAAACCTCCAAATTCCCCCTGCAGCTTACTTCCACATTTGTGTGGAGCAATTAGACCTGGGTGCATCCCATTGCAGGGGGTGCAACTCCACCCTGCTCATCCCATTCCACAGGGTAAAACTCCATTTTGTCCATCCCATTCCA